TGAGTAAAACGGTTTAATAAAGTGGAACACAGCACAAAACCAAATATCTGCAATTTATTAATGAACACTGGCCAGAGACAGATCAATCTGGGATTAAGGCTGATTTAAAATTTACTCTAAGCAAACAAAAGAAGCTTTGTCCCTGCAAAAAGAAATGAAATTGTCATTTTCTGTTTGAGTAATACAGTACATGTCATTGCATAAGGAGTGCAGTGACACATTTCTATTGTGAAGCAGACAAAAGAAAAATGTTTTTTTTCTTCCTCTACATCAGGGACTTCTTTCTCTTCTCCTCATCTACTGTTATCAGCCAGCAGCTTCCTACAGTAAATGCCTAAGTGAACTGTGTGAGACTTGGCTCCTTTCTGCAGCCCTGTCTCTAAACACCTCTCCTTTATTTCTAGTAAAACGCCCACACTACACAAACACACTGGGATCCTTGAGCTTTTTCTTTAATACAACATAACAGACCTGCAAATACAAAGTGAAGCCCTCTGGTTATTCACCTTAAGGAGGAATTAGTCAAATTAAATCCTAATAAAGCAAATTGTTCCTCTTCCATAACATGCCTGCAGGATTTAATACATGCTATGTGCAGTGTGTTTCAAATAGTTTAAAACATGGAAATGCTTATAGTTTTCTGCAGCAACATGTAAAGACATGAAACAACATTTTCCATCTATTCTTTGAAGTTTACAATGAACAAACAAGACAGAAGCTCAACTACCGAGCACTGGCAACACTAAATATCTTGGCATGCATGCCAGACTCACCCTGTCACCTGCCATCTCAAAGCACATGTTACATGAGCAACACCTTACTCCCCCATCCACAGACACTGGCAGCTTTGCAGTAGAGTTAACTGTTTAGTGGTGCATATACAGTACCAGGTTTACAGAAGAGGTATATTACATATCTAAATTAGGTTGGAGATTAGGGGATTTTACAATTCAATAATTCAGGTTTAAATATTAATGCTCTTTAACTTGAATGATGTATCAGGACATAGAGCTGCACTGAAGAGTTATTTGAGACTTTTCACTTACTGTTACTGGGTTTACTATAGAAGGAGTTAAAAAATACAGATAAGGGAAGAGGTTCAAGCATTGATTTGACAGTGCTCTACCTCGCAGTTAACACGTTTTTTTAATAGAAATCTGTCTTGGATTTGATGAAGGTTAAGAAACATAATAATGTAAAAACTGGCTGCAGAATCAGCATGGATGAGTGCATTTCGAACCACAATTAAAGTAAAATGGACACAGGAACTTGCAAAACCTCCATTTACATCACAAAATTACCAGGTATGTGCAGCGCCTTATTGCGGTCATTGTCTTCGATTCAGAACAAGGCAACAACATATCCAGCAGAGTGATGCGACCCTATTACATTGTAAACAAGGAGGCTTGTGAATACATCTCTTTTAATCCAACAGAACTCCTGCTCTCAACTTTCAGACAGTTTTGCCAACAAACACTACTTACTGCACGCAGATCACAATGGAACATTTCTGCAGTGAAATATCTGCTGCACAACAGGAACCGATTCGCTTGTACATCGCAGAACCTTAGTCATTACAGTGACTAGTGAGCAGGAAGGGCTGCTTCACGATGCAATTCATGCGAACTCTTACTCTTGCCCATGGCGAGACCAGCAATTTACAACAATGGTGACCATACAGTACTTTCATTAAGTGTGCGATTCTGCGCTTAATTAGAAATTTGTCAATTTGTTCTATACCGCCAATTAATTTATTTTGCTACAGAGATTTAATAACTGGTCTTGAGAAACTGGGACTGCAGTTCCCCTTTAAAGTGGTGCAGACAGGTGTCACATAATGTGCTCAGAAAGTGAAAGTACCAACCTGCTTAAAAAATACCAGTCCACACAAACCAGAAGCCCCACCCCTTCTTGATGATGACGACGATGATGATGATAATGATGATTGTGCTGTTGTTGTTAATAATTTCTATTTTAAATAGCACCTTTATAAGGAGCTTACAGTTAGAAAACAAAGAAACCAGTTAAAAAAAAAGCATAGGAGAACAAAATTGGCACACAAAAAAGCAAGGGTTTAGAATGCAGTAGAAGATGCAGGGATGAGACACAGAACACCAATTAAATAAAAGCCCTTCTGAGGCTTCTTCATTAAGACGAGTGATTTGGACACTCAATGGACACTGTAGTGAGTTCAGTGCGATGTCATGGGTGCACCTTAGGAATGTCATTCAACTTTCAACTGTGAAGCATGGATAGGTTCTTTAACCTTTACCTCAGGCTGGGCTTTTTGACACCTTGTTTATGCATGAATACATTTCGGAAGCATGACGTCCAGAAAAGGCTTGCTCTGCGCACGTCCTACACCCCTAAAATTAAGCACATTTTCCTCACATGATGGGACAGGGTCCCCCTTGAACAGTTTTATCCTTCCAGAAGTAGGAGTCGGCCAGAAAAAAAAAAACCATTAAAAACCTGGATAAATCCAGTCACCGTAGCCCAATTCTCTCCTGCCACACCCTCACAAAAACAACAAAGGTGACAGACGAGGGGAGGCCATTCGGTCAAGGAACTCATCAGGTGTTTCTTGAAAGAAGTCAGGGTATCAGCTTCAACGACATGGCTAGCAGCTTGTTCCACGCTCCCACAACCCTTTAGGTAAAGATATCTCTTTCTTGGGTTTAAATACATTCCCACGCAGCTTCCACTTGTGCCCTATGGTTTGTGTTTCACTGTTCGCCTCTACTAGACAGCAAGCACACCAGGTGGGGCGCTCACACACAGACGATCTGGGGTGGGTGAGGGTGTGTTTGTGCAGTGTTGTCTCAACTATTCTATAAGGAAGGCCAGGGTCTAGATACATCATGGTGGACGTCTCTCTTTTGCTGTATGCTGCAGATTACAAAAGATATGGAAAGAGAGGCTCTGACCTGGCGCTGGGAGGAACTGATGTACTGGGACTGAACAAAGTGGGGTATGGCAAGCTCACTGCTCCCAGCTACAAATGCCAGATCCTGCATCTGATGTAGGTCATGCAGGTGCGGAAGTGCAGAAGGACTACATTTCATTTTGGTTAATGGCCTCCTGCATCAATTACAGATGAGTACTACGGAAGTTGAAGAAGACTGAAGTGAGCAGCCAGCTTAACAATCAAGATCCCTTAAACTGAAACCGACTGAACTCACTTGGACTATCCCTACAGAACGCCACAGCACCCTCATGCAGTGAAGCCCAGGACTCTGAAGGAGCCCCAAGACTTCTAGGGGTTCTCTCATGAGGGTAACACAGGTGTTATCCATGTGTCCTTGTGTCACTGATGGGTCAACAGTCAACACCTAATCATGCTGGAATAGCTAGATGAAGTTTGAATTGAAAATAAAGGAAGAGTGTAATTATGAAGCTTATATGCATTTCTATTCCTTGATCCAAAGTTTGCAGGTATTAAAATGAATGCAAAAACATACATTCATCAAATAGCACACACCACGAATCGCAGCAGAAAATCTTGATCCCTAGAAAATGTTTTAAAAATAATACATATACACTGAGAGCCATTAAAATGAGTTGCAATACTGCGCCAGTTCTTGTATTTTTATTGCCTCTCATGGTATACATACTGTATATCACTGGGCTAAGATACAGAAGTCTCTCCAGCTGCCTCTTCCTCCTTTGCAATGAATGATCATCATCGCTTTGCTACAAAACAAAAAGCACACATATACGGTACCATGCCGAGAATGTGCGTGCAGGGGAGTGTTTAGAGTAAGCATGTCGAATCACACTCCATTCAGTGTCTAATTTGTCCTGCGAGACATTCATCCCTGTGTACAGGAATTAAGAGCAGCAAAAAAAAAAAAAAAAAAACTCATTCAACAGTTGGTTCTGCATCACTGATCTTGGCAACAACAGGGCGCTCCCTTAAACAGCATTCTTTCCCATCCTGACACACTGTCCTCACAACTGAAAACCCTATTACTGGCTATAGAACAGGCTTTATTAGACAGAAGGCTTTGAAGGTCAGAACAAAAGATTCTCCTATGTTTAGTTTAGATAATGTAAGCAACTGGTTTTCTGCTCCAATGCTAATGCACAATGAGGCAACTTTTGAATAAGATGCCTGTATGACAACGAAGCAATCTGCTGGATATTTCACTATAATTAATTCAGAGATAAAAAAAGAAACCCCGTACAGCCCTTCTACTCTAGGACTGCTGCTATTAACTGATCATAATCATTCTCAACATGGAAAAATGGCATATTAGGTTTTTCCTAATTGACGTGAATAACCCAATTTTAAGTGCTGATTGCTATCAAACTTATTACAGGAATAAAAAAAATTAACAGAGCTATCAATTCCCATGAGATAAATCATCTAGGAGACAGCTTTGGAAAAAGACAGTTGCCTGACTAACTTAAGACAGCTACTAGATAGATAAGAAGATAATTCCAAATTTAGCTTCAGAAGAAAATGTCTCATCAGACAAGCAATATTTTTTTAATTCAATTGACAGATGAAGAAACCGAGTAGACTTTCAAAAAATGGAAGACTCAACCTTTCATCTTCACTGTCAAATAGTGTTTGTCATTACGAGCAAAGGGAATCAGGACAAACTGACAACTTGTCTATGGTCTATCTTTGTGAAACAAGAAGCTGTCGACATACTCAAGAGTTTTCCAGGATCACACAAACACAAACCGCCGCGAAGAAGCACTTCCCTGTGACTCAATCACCATTGAATACCCTGAGATTAACTTAAATTGCAAAGAATGTAACACTACATGTCTGTGAAGTGTTCCCCCCTGCCTCTTGCCATTAAGATTCCCAAGGCATGGCCTGTTTGCTGTCTACAGCTCGTTTTACCTCTGTCTGCACGGACTCTCCACACAAGCATGTGGCCACAGGACATATGCCAGAGGAGCCCGGTGACCTGCTGTCTCCCTCCATCTGTTAGCCAACCCACAGTGAACAGCCCCCCGGTGGATCCGAGTAGCGGGAACGGTACCTGGTCATGGCTAGCTTCAATGGAGCTCCCACTGCCATGGAAAGTCATCTGCACAGGTGAAAGAGTTAGGTAGGTCATGCACTCTTTGCCATTTGGCCCATCATTATACTGCACCTGCACAAGAAAAATATGGGCAAGTATACTAATATACTAATTGGCAAACAGTACCGGCATTGTATCAGAAGGCATGGCGTTGGCACCCTAGCGCCAGTCAACAAATGCACAAAGAGCTGCAAAAGAAAATCTCCCGGAAGTATGGCTGGCACGGGCGTGTCATCGCTTCATTCCGGAGACTTAATGGTTAACTGCCTACCACTTTGCCACCCAGGGCGGGCTCCATCAATCAGAAAGCCTGCTTGTGGATCGAAGGGAGCATTTGGATGGCACCGACGACGTTACCGGCCATCTGATCTACGCGAAGACCCAGCAGCGAAAATCAGTTTTAAGGGCCCGTTTTCACCCAACAACTCATCGTGGAGGATATTATCTGTGACTGAAGCTTTCCAGAAAGAGGAGTGAGAGAATCAAGGGTGGGTGAGTTATGTGCACATTTTAACCCAGCAGCGAGAGGGGTGGAGGGGTGGAGGGGAGGGTTTTGGCTGAGCCAGACTGATGAGAAACGGGTCAGAAAGGGTTGGGTAGACCAGCACCACACAATACCACAGCCTGGGAGAGCCCAGGCCCACTAACCCTGTCAACAGCCACAATGCTAAATAATGCGCATGCAACCCTAGGGTGACTAGGCATATTCACAAAGCAAGTTTTTTTGGGGGGAGGGTTCTTTAATAACATAAGAGACACATAACATAAAAGTCCTGACAAGGCCAATAAAAGGTAATTTAGTGTTAAAAAAAGAAGTTAAATAAAGAGAAGAGTCAAATACATTTCTAATATGTTTTGGAGAAGCAATTAAATGCTGTCAGATATATCTGTTATCTGTTTTAATTTGAGGGAAGGCAGAACCTGCGCAGTCCTAACACTGGCAGTGGGCAGCGTTCTGGACTCATAACTGGAAGGTCGTGGGTTCAGATCCCAGGTGAGACAGTGCTGCTGTACTGTACTTTGAGCAAGGTATTCTGCCTGAATTATTCCTGTAAAATACCCAGCTGTTCAAATTAGCAGAAACGGAAGCTTCTTTGAATAACTACCAAGTAAATTAATAACTTCAAACTGTCCGGGCCTAATTCCTGACTTCATGGGATTTCTCTGTTGTCTTGTGGGATGATTACTGTGAAGATACTGTATCTGCTAATTATATAGTCTTCCAGCGCAGGCAGCGTATATACAATGCTGACTTTACCTTAGACACTGCAATTAGCAAGCTGTAAAAAACTCAGAGGAGAGAGGCATTAAAGAACCTCACCTTTTAAATGCCAAATTTAAACTAATAAATGAATATAATCACACCATTATATTCAGAAGTTCAGGAAACCCGATTCTAACTTGTTGTGTGTAATTGTTTTTAGCGGTTTCTAACTTTTGTTTGCAAACAGGAAATGTCAGGCAAATTTTGAATACTTTTCTTTATCAAACATTAATTGTGTTTAACAAGGAAGGTCAATATTTAAATCCACGACAAATGCTTAAGAAGTACTAAAAGGAAACTTCACAAGTTTAAACAAACAGATCCATGTTAAAACCTATCACACCACTACGTCCAGAGAATTAGCTATGCCCACCCAAATATTCCAGAGCCACCATCTACCACAACCCTGTCCCAGAAAAGCATTAATAGCCAGCAAATGTCACTTTCAGCTACTTCCTGCAAAGTTGGAGTTCCTTGATCTGCGTGGGATTACAGAACATCGTATTTTACTAATCTCAGCTGGTGGCAGACCTACTGCCAGTTTATCAGACGGCTCCTGTGACACCCTCCTGCCATCAGGCTGCAAGGGGTGCATGGAAATCACCCAGAAAGTGAAAGGACTGCTTGCTAGCTCATTAAGGAAGGATAAAGGCCCATAGATTTTTACATGATGTATGGCACAATCATTGTGTCAGGAAAACATATGCTTGATTACTACGCCTCAGGTTCATTAATCGCTCTGTCTAACACTCAGCAGTGGGTAAAGACTTTCTTCTGTCTGTTAAGTAGCACTGTAAACATCATTCAACCAAAGGAAGGGGCCTTTGCATTTGGGCAGCGCACCATAAAAAAACGAAAAAAAGGACCTCAAAGGCCCAGCAGAAAACCTGTGAAGTCTTCTGAGGAGGACACAGCCTGATGAGGCGGAAAGCAGGCAAATAAACAGGCAAAAGTCGATAGCTTGATAGTCTGATAGATTTTTTTAATGTGTCATTTTAATAATGTTTTCAGCAGGGATATACCTACAGTGATTAAATGATGTTCCTTTCGGTGCTGTTCAACTAACGTGAACAGTACTGTAATATATATTTCGAATGATGTAAATATTTTGTCCAACACTCAGTTACTAATGTTTCCAAGTTGACAAATCTTTTTAAAACAGCAAGCAAATGTACATCAGTTCTAACATGCAGTGCTGAAAATGGCTTTTTTTGCTGTCTTATTACTGTTTTACATGCTCATAAAAAGAGACTGCCTCTCTTTGACTGCCTGCCCTTTTAGACTTTCTCTGTCCATGACTTCAGCCATCACTGCTCCCACAGTCTTGGCAGATTACACAAGCTAAGGAAGGCTGGGGCTGGTTGGGGCTGGTTAGTGCTGGGAGGGGAGACCTCTAAGACAGTGTTTCCGAGTATTCTCCCAGCCCTGCTCCAGGAGTATGCCTGCGTCTTTGGATTTTATTCCAACTGGACGGCAAGTGTGACTAACAGGGCTGCTGCTGGCACCTGGGTTTGCAAATCAATGGCGGGTGACGTCAGTTCCCTCCAACATGTGAAGAGCTTTTGGATCCTTTGGGATGAAAAGTATGATACAAATGCAAGCAATTATGGTTAATTACATCCACTACCCCTGCTACAACTTCTAATCCCACTCTTACACTTCTACCACTATGAATAATATTTCATAAATGCATGGATATGACCAGAGGTTTGCAGATCCAAACATCAATTAAACAGAGGTAAACCAGTATAACCTAGAGCCTCCCACACACGTCGGCTCCCTGCCTGCAGGCTGCAGATCGAGTTTGGCCCCAGGAACGGTGGATATCATTTCAGCAAACAGCACACACCAACAGATGCTAAAACTATTTCACCAGAGTCCCCGGCTCTCTTGACTGACTGACAGCTGGATTTTTTCCCAATACAACCCTTTTATTTATTTTCTAGGATTTTTACAGTGCAGTTCCTTTGGGCATCCCACGGTTAATCCAGACACCCATTCTCCTGGAGAGATTACACTTACAGGGTGCTAGTTTCTATCCAAGAGAACTCCCTGGGTGTGACTAGTATCTGCTATGGAAACTTCCCTAGTAGGGGGGCTAGTTTCTATCTGTGAGAATTCCCTACACAGGGGAGTAGTCACGTCACGTTCCGTCAAATTCATTTTCCGTCACGTCACGTCGTTTGCCAAACCGCTTTATACCATAAGGTGTTGCGGGAGGCCGGAGCCAACCTGGCAAGCAACGAGCACAAGGCAGGGTACATCCCTGGACAGGACGCCAGTCCATCGCTGGGCCAGTGCAAACCTATCATACATGGGGACAGTTTGGAGGCCACGGTTTCTCTGAGGGGAGAAATTTGGCCCGGACACTGGGATAACTCCCTACTCTTATCGAGAAATGCCCGAGGATCATGAATGACCATTGAGAGTCAGGACCTCGGTTTAACGTCTCATCTGAAAGACAGGGGAGTAGCTTATATTTGGAAAATCCCCTGGGTGTAGTTTCTGTCTAGGAGAACTCCCTTTGTGGAAAGGTGGGATAAGTCCAGAAGATTCTTCTCCCCTATAGAATCCTATAGGGTAAGTTCTATCCCGACAAACTAATTGGGAGAGTGTCTCTATCCATAAAAAATCCCTAGGGGAAGAATTTTTCTAGGGGGTATTAGTTTCTATTCATGCGAATTCCCAGTGAGGAGAGAGCTAGTTTCTAGTTTCTATCCAGGGCATTTGCTAAGGTGGAGAGGCTGCCAGGAGAATTCCAGGGTGCGGTAGTTTTTACATAATTAAACTTAAAATGTCATTCAACTTTAAAAAATGTTTTTTTGTTACTTATTTATATTAGGTTTTCCACATCTAAGAAAGGTATCCGTGATTTGGCTGGGTGTCCATCAGATACATCTATACCAGAATCATCTGACTCAAAGAACAACTTGTAGATAACAAATGAAAAAAAAAACTGTTCCAGTGTGAACTCTGCACAAGGTGTTAGTTAATGAGGTTATGCAATAAGGAACAGTGAAAGCTGCGTATATACTTAGAATTTACGTATCACCATCTGTGGATGACTAATGCACTTCTGTTATTTCCAGAAAAAAGTGAATAATGAACCTATCAAGGCCTGGGCAACATTAGGTCATCACATTTGTGCAAGTAAAGGATGAACTGCATTGCACATCCGCAAATGAATGAATGGTTGTCGCGGTGGTGGGAGTAGCCCCTCATTATTCCACAGTGATGGAATAGGCCAAGGAATTCAACAAAGCAAGAAAAGCAAGAGAACAGAACAATGACTCAGGAATCAAGGTTGCGGAACTTGCAGAAGTGTTTGGGGTCATTCAAGAAACATGTTGTGAGTCAAGGGCTTATGCCAGACAGGTATCCCAGCTCTGCACAGTGTTGCTAGAGATCATCAACACTATTCAGGTGTACTTCTTCTGATTACTGGTGAGGAGGCAATGAGTCGTGCATTTGCCACTGGTCCCTGAGACCGAGAAACAATCAACAGACTTTAGGGATTCATAACAAGTGCTACTGTTTTTTCGCCCAGCAATGCTACAATATTGCAAACTGAGATGCATTATGGAGGAAGTCCACATTGCAGGTTCTGGTTCTGCACAACAATTTACCACCTCACAAGCCTAGTGTCACTGACAGAGTGGGTTCAAACAGAATCAGAAACACTGCAGTCCCAAGCAATTAGTATTTGTTAGAAAATCTGTGGCAGGTGATATAGTTTCAAGATGATGAATCTTCACTGCCACTGAATGGTCAAAGTTACAGCCAGAAGAGTGCTATTATCAGGGAATTA